AGATAGAGTACACTTTACTTCACAAGATACCCAGATATGAGCCTTAGAACAGGGGATCCCATGGCACTTCCACTTACCCAATATCAGCCCCACTCACTAAGCCCCAAGATAGACATTTCAAACACTTCTACTACAAATTAAAATTAAACTGGGCACGGTGGTGCAGGCCTGTGATCCCAGCACTCAAGAGGTTGAGACAGGAGAAATGAGTTTGAGGCCAGCCTGAGCTACATAGTGAGTTCAACCTGAACTACATAGCGAGATCTTGTCTCAAAAAATAAAAATAAATATTTAAGAATAAAAATTTAAAATGCCTGCCATATCAGCGTGCCTGCCCACAATCGTGATTATACTGAAGTCTGCACTTTTGGCAACCTCTGAATCCTAAATGCTCTGGAGACATCCCGATTAACTGTCTGTGCCATTAAAAGTTGTGACCACTGGGCCCAGGGATTTAGCTCAATGGTTCGGCTGCCTGCCTCGAAAGCACAAGGTCCCGAGTTCAATCACTAGCACCAAAAAAAAAAAGTTGTGACCATTAATCCTGATATATCAGCTTCACTGGACTAAGAAATGCCTAGTAGATAAGTAAAGCACACTCTTATGGGTCATGGAAGCAAGGCCTTGGGTGCTGTACACGCTCCCTCTCCCCGTCCTCTCTGGGACTATTCCCTGCTCTGCTTCTGGCCAACATGAATGGAGCAGCTTTGCTCCATCACATGCTTCTACCATGCCTTGGAATCACAGTCCATGAACTGAATACTCTGAACGATGAGCCAAATTAAACATCTCCTCCTTTAAGCTGTGGGTGTTACATATTGTGACCCAGCAAGAGGAAAGCTAATACAATGCTGACTTTCTGGATATGGTCAGTCCTTGCATCCACTGCTATTTCCCTCTGCCTCTTCCCCCCACTGACCTTCAAAACATTCCTTTGCAATTCGCCCAGACCTGCACACAGGTGTTACATCTCACCAGACACTGGGCCTGCTGCCATTTCCCATTTCCCACCTTGGTGACTTGTCTACCTTCCACCTTGCAGCTCAATGGTCAAATTGTACTAGAGGCTCTAGCCAACGGAAATAAAGCAACAAAATTAAAAGGTATTCAGCAATGACAGGAACCCCACTTCCAAGTATCTGCCAATCCTTGGCCTGTTGCAGAAGTCAATTCCCTATGGTTCACTACCCTTCTGGCCCTGATTCATTCTCTGCTTCTCTACAACCTATGCTGTTACCTAAAACACACTTCTACCAGTGCTTATCAAAGGTAGGTAGACAAAGTGGAAGTGCAGGAAGCACCAGGTCTGTCCACAAGAGGGAGTGCGGGAGGCCTGCTGCAGGAAGACCGCTCCCTGGCTAAGCCTGCCTGGATGTGATTTATCTTGAGGTGGGCTCCTGCCTCACCACATGGAGGACTTGGGTTGCCACAGAGGAAGAGAAGACAGAAGGGTGTCCCAGACATGGCTCAAGGACCAGGGCACAAGCAAACCTAGGCCCTGAGGTCCCCCTAAAGGTTGCCAGAATGCTGGAAGGGCCTGGGTGAAAGAATCTATTGGTGTGGAAATCTATTGGTGTGGCTTCTTCTGAGGTGAGATATGGCCATGGGGTGTGTGGCAGGCAGAAGAATGCTCCCCCAAAGATATCCTCATTCTAATCCAGGGGACCTCTGAGTAGTTATGTTCCATGGCAAAGGGGAATTGAGACTGCAAATGGAGCTGACTGGAAAAGGGAGATTACATTGACCTGGATGATCTGTGGCCTTAAAAAAACGGAAGGATGGGCCTGGGATTTAGCTCAGTGGTTCTGCCTGCCTTGAAAGCCCAAAGTCCCAAGTTCAATCCCTGGTACCCCCCAAAAAAAATGGAAGGAGGAAGTAGAGAAGGCCCAAATCACTTTAGAGAATAAATTGTTATAAAGGGCAAAAGGGACAAACTCAGTCCCTCAAGCCCTTTTATAGGAGAACTAGTCTCATAATTATAAAAATCACTTTTTGTTTCTATATTCTTTAATATTTAATTCTAACTCATCTTGCTCAGGACAATCATAACAAAATTCTTTTCCTTTGAATGATAAAAATTTAAATGTACTTAATTAGTCATGTACTTCTGTGTAACAAACAACTCCAAAATTTGATAGTCACGAGGGTGGAACCCCATGACTTAATCACTTCCCAAAAGGCCACCTCTTAACACTACATTGGCTTCTCAGTTTCAACGTGAATTTTGGAGGCACAAACTTTCAAGCCATAGCATCACCCATGTGGTCAAGGAAGCTGATGTTCAAGATCCTCTGCTGCTCAGCTGAGCTCTCAGCAGTGTCATTTTTTTTTCCTTAAATTCTTTTATTGGTACATTTTAGGTAAACAATACGTTTACATTTATCATTGGGTGTTTGTACCTGTACATGATGTATCTTTTTTCTTATTTTTTCCCCATTACCTGTGTGCCCTTCACCCCCTCCACCCTTCCCTATTTACATAGACTTCGTTCCCATTTTTTTTCTCATAAT